ACCCCTGTCAAGATTCATGGACGTCTTCTATATACTGACTTTTGTCGGGACTTGGTACTACAAATCAGCACGTTTTCGTTGCTATCACTTATGGTTTAATGCAGGCACTTGGGAGAGGGGTTTGGGGCTTCTGGGTTGTCGACTTTGAGGAACCTGCCTGTGTGACATCCTGGGGTGAATTCGTGGATCTCGTAGGTGTTTTGTACTGCACATGTTAACCTCCGCTCACAATGTCGAACAGGGGTGCGGGTATCAAGCCGTGGATACAATATCGTCTTTCAAAGTATTCCTTTTCTCGGCGAGCTCCTTGGGGATATTGACATGCGCTCAAACAGAGGGTCGAGTCCCGTCTAGAAAACCTACAAATCGGTGCTGATTGGCAAATTATGTGTGTGACGACTCCAGCTGATATCGTCGGACGTCATTTTGCTACGCCCACCACATGTCAAAACTCGGTATGTGGCGGAGGTTCAATCTTTGTAGCAACTGGAGTACTAAATGCTCAATTGAACAGGGTAAACTCGGTGTGTATGGGACATGGGATGTCAATGATGAGTCTTGCGATGAAGGCAGCGAAGACAAGTGATTACACCGTAATCATTGTATATAGTCAGATTGACATTATATTGGCGTATTCATCCTCTGGAATCGTGAAATCTTCTGGACACAAATTCGGCTTCTCCTGTAACTGAAAGGTAGAAATTTACTTCCAGGTTCTGGATAACCGCACTAGTTAAGATAGGCTCATGTTATCGGGGTTCTGAGAGAGAGAGAGAGTGAGTGAGAGAGAACGAACTTGCCCAAGACAGTCGTAACAGTCACCTTCCCCTCGCTTAGGAACGAGGATTATGCTGACGTGAGCCGTCAAGTGAGGTGGTCAGTTCATAAGTCTGGACCGTCGCAATATTGTCCATTAATTTCAACATGAGTTGACCATGTCATGACTGCACCTCATATGAATTGAAACATCTGATACCGTATTGTGGTTCTTCCCTTGTTCTTCCCACCCCACAGGCTCGAGCTCCTCGTGAAGCACACGGTATGAAATTTATCCTTAAATTCCTATAAAGACAAAGACATGCGTTTGAAAAAGAAGGAACTGCCTGGCAGGTCAAAGGGAACGAAATCCATCACTGATGTACTTGTATTCTTTGAGATGTGAGTGAGATGAGCACTCTACGAGCGTCAGCTCTCTGTATGCTTTACATACATATGTTTCTCGCTCTCCGCCTTTTTTCCAATGGTCCGACTACCGCCATTTCAATGAGCGACGCTTCCCACCTTGTCTCAACATATATGGAGTACGAACCCCAGTGGTTCCGCCGGGACGAACGCGGGTCTTCTCTCTCTCTCTCTCAACTGTGGTCAACCGAATACGGTCTCAGAATAGGCTTATTCCTGCAGCGTAACTGCAACCAATATGACAAGTTCTCCACAACATGTCTATTTTTATCACAATCCCTGGGAATCGGCATGAAAGCTGGCGTCGATCACTGGGCAGAGCGTTCTCTCAGTACTCTTTCAGGGTCGTAATTGGTGCTAAGTCCGTAGGTGTTGCTCAAGAACCAGTACTTTGTCAATCTGGCCCAAAGACTGAGGAAAAGGAATCCAGAAGGTCCAACCGCTCGCACCAATATTCACACGTTAAAGCATGTCGATTAGTTGACATTATTGGCGTTGACACTCCGTGTCAAAATTGGTCGTATTCATGATTGCTGTGAGCTGGCGCTATTACTTATATAACCCCTCAGACGATACATTTCCCTGTATCGACACGGGTCTTGACGACCTACAACTCCCCAGACCACCGAGAAAGCTATGGTATCGACCGTTCAAGTAGCGTCTTTTCATCTGGAATCGATCCCCAATCTTGGTGCTCTGGAAATAGCATCATTTTTCAGTGTTCTACTCTTTGGAGTACTGTTATCGCAAGGATATACATATTTTCGAAGAAGCAGGAACGATCGGATTGGGTTGAAATTACTGGTGCGTGTCGGGGTGTAGTTCATAATTCCAAAGTTGATTATTGCCCAGGTTGTGATTGTTTTGTATGCCTTGTGATGTCCAAATTATCGACCTACCATGTTGATACGCGTCCCTCAGATCATTAGAGACTTTTCATTCCGTCACTGCGGCACACAACATATTTTATGTCACCATCACGAAGTACAAGACAGCGGAGGCCAACTCATATCCATTATCTGCTAATGTTGCGGTAGAGACACTGATCACGCTTGTGGTTCAGGTGTGTTTTCCTCAATGTGTTAGGGCACCATGTGTTGACTTCTTGGAATCCAGTGCTTTTACTCTATGAGAATTCGTAGGTTGTCGGGCAAGCTCCCAATCAGTGTTTTGTGTTTTACACTTGCTATGTTACGCTTCATTGGTGGAGTCGCCGTCTCTGTGGAAAGTTTCCTTGATGTTCCTAGAGAACCGAATGGCCTGGATTTCACTGTGAACTTCAGCTGGCTTATCACTTCAACTCTGGCCGTTGGAGTCACCACGGATATTGTCATTGCATTTTCCATGTGCTATTATCTCCGAAAACTCTCCTCTCCCAGCAATATGAGGTCGTGAGTGCCTTATTTTGCTTCGGATTTACTTGTAATAGTTTCGAAGCACGACAGAGGTTATCAATCGTCTCATCCGGTGGTCTTTGCGTGCGCTCGCTATTCTTTAAGACGCAACATATACTGATTACCTCGGCGAAACAGAGACTGGTTTAATCACGAGGTGCAAAGCCTTCAACTCCCCTGAGGTCCATCTCTGAATCCGATATGTCCAGCATGACTTCTGTGACAGTCATTATCTGTGTCAGTCTACGTTCTTACTACAGTTTGCATTCGCTGATAAAGACCCATATACAGTTCCAGGCCATGTCAAATAGTAAGCTATCTGCCAATGGATTTTCCTCGAGTCATTTCTTCTGACATGTACATACACCTAGTGGTTTGGCTGAGTCTCTACCTCATCCTTGCAAAACGTAGGCGACAATAGATCTTGCCATCTTGACTGGTTCTAATCCGCAGCTAGTTTATTCGAATTCACTCCTTGTATCGTAAGCTTAACGGTCCTCTCGAACCTTGTTGATCTTATCCATATCTTGTTCTTGCCACAAGACTGAACGCTCGACCTCCAAGCAGCCAGGTCGGCCTCCCCATAAATGTGACCACAGGATTGCAGTTCACAAATGCGCATCCTCCCATTGAGGTAAGTCACTCGCATGGTCAATGCACATGCTACTTACATGCCCGGGTAAACTTCTATATAAGGTGACCTTCCAGATATCGCAACCAAGCGATGCCGAAGCCGGATGGTGCCCGCCAATCTCACCAAAGGTAGGTATGATAGCTTATCCCTCGAGAGCGACTTCTTACCTGGGACATGCGTAATGCACGAGTCAGTGATTCGCGCTTCAAATTATCACTGCAATTGACAACTTGTTAGCTCCTTCTCTCTCGGCCCGTTTGGAGGAGCGGTGTTTTTCTTTTCTTTGCTTCACGAGTCACCCCCAAAAGCTGCAGAATTGGGCAAGAGTTAGCGTGCATCGTTGGTTCACATCCTTAGGCATATGCGGGCAGATCCTGGTTGATAACACCCTTGTTTATCCGCTCCTTCAGAGATTTTTGCACGTATCAATCAATCATCACGCAATATCATCACGGTCATCATCCAATCCAAGATCACCATCTTCGCTATCATAGATATTCCCTTTACTACCATGTTACGCTAGTGCCAGCTCAATATCTATTTCTTGTCCTTCGAGTTCAATCGATAGTGGCTTACATTGGGATATCAGTGAATAACCGCTTATTAACGGACGTCCAGTAAGCTGGAATGCCAAACCACGCTGATTGGTATAGTATAATTCTGGAACTTGTATATTGCCATATTTATTACGGCGGTTCTAAAACACCGGTACTTCTCTTTAGCTTGGCTTAATTTTGGTTCCCTCTACCACCGCTCAAACATGGGCACATGAAGTTCGACAGAACATGTAAGGGTGGAATGACTCCACCAAATCTATTGTCAGCTTAGCCCTTCCAATTCTCAAATCTCACAAAATGGTAAGAAGCCTTCTGTCGTTCCTTTCTATAGCTAGTACCCGTGCTCTTTCGAAATATGATCGGTAATTAGTTGGACCATGACCTGTAGATTCTCATGTCGTTCATATAGGGCCATCAGTCAACAGGCTTGCATTTTCTTCCTTCCGGTTGAGAACTAGCACCGGTTTCCAAATCCGGAGACCTATTATTGGTTAGCGAAAAGGTATAAAAGGCAGCGTTCTTTGTCTCATATGAACACAGTTCAGAGCAAACGTCCTTGAGGTACGACTATAATCCCGAACACTACTCATATTTTTTTGTTTGACTCTGGCTCCATACAGAATTAATCCAGGAAAATCTAGTGTTTATTGTCGTCGCTATGGGCTTCAACGTAAAAAACCTATCGAACGTAAAGAACCTCGAGGCTTTTGTATCAAAGTATACCAAGGATGGGAACGATGGCTGGTTCACAGTCCCATCTACTTTCGACAGCTCCTCCTCCTCCCACTGGGATAGAAACGGCTGGGAGCTTGTTGCCTTCAAGGATCCCGCTACTAATATCCAGCGTGGGTGGTACCTCGACTGCAAAGGTCAAACAGTCGATATCACCTTCTATGGTTTTAACCAAGACCTTGGGCTTGTTCGCAAGTGATTATAGCTTCAGGTCAGTAATTGTTAATGTCGGAGTCGGGTTAAACTCAGACAAGAAATTACAGAAGCACACTTGAAAGAAACGATGAAATGGAAAGAACCACTCAGACTCCTCCCTTCCTAGAGTGATTTTCTAAAACCAATCTGTACACTACTCGGCCTCATCATCCTCGAATGCAATTTGAAATTTGACGAGATAGGCCCACCTAAGAATGGCGCTGCTACTTTTATTTACATGGGCTCCAATTTCCAGCCTTCAAAGTTCTACCTACACAGATGTCTCCAGTGACAAAAAATCTTCTCCGACGCCAGCAGGATTTGAACCTGCGCCCTCAAAGAGGAACAGATCATATGAACGAACAGTTCCCGTTCTAATCTGTCGCCGTAACCACTTGGCTATAGCGCCTTGGTGTTTCTGCAGTTTAGAGCTCTCGGGACCGGTTAAGCTTGTTCGTCTACCATCGTCATCAACATTCGAGCAACCTTTTGAGGTCGAGCAAATTTCGTTGAAATTTTGGAGTTCAAGGGGAACGCGAAGGAGTGGCTAGTAGTGCCGCTTTTACGGTCTTGACGTGATTGCCTCTGTGCGTAGCCATCACCCACTCTAAGTAACAGTCGGCGGTCTCCGAAGATCGTGGCAAACCTAGCATTTCCTGAGGCATTGTTTTCCTCTATGATGATCGACATTTGCTCATTCAAGCATTTTATCAAGCACGGGGGATGCGACTCGCAAGGCTTTGTGAACGATCTCTCCGACAGCTCGTCCACATCGTTCACAAAATCTGGGCCGCGATGGCCGATTGATTGTCTGGTAATTTCAACTGATTCCATGGTGGATTGCAATCTGCGCCGCTCGGTCTTTCCTGAGGATTGGTAATTTCTCCCGCTTCCACCCTACACAGGCTCAGGAGGCTTCTGACCTCTTCAACATGTATTTTAGTGATCTGAATTGTCCATGTAGGGTAGGTCATCTTGCGAGAACATTTAAGCATATGGAATAGGGGGTATCACCGTTGGGCTCTTGATCATCCTCCAGAATCAAATTTGCGATGTCGATATACTTTCAGGATCCTCGGAATCACTATCTTGACTTGTGGGTTGCATTCTCTAGCCTTTCTGTTTCATTCAACACGGAGGTTCTCTTAACGACTTGTTGACATGTTCCGATTGTTCCAGGTTCCAAAGCTTGGCGCGGTGCGCCGGGTGGTGGATCTCTAGCAAACCCTGAAACTCGAAACGTCGAACTGGGCCGGGAGCGCGGTTATGTTGACTTTATCCAGTGATGGGCTTCTCAGATGGTAAAGGTGAGGTGAGGTGAGGGGTAATCTGCACGGTCTAGTGCCAAACTTGGCCTGAAGTGGAAAACAATGATTGTCGGCAACGTGAGTTACCTGAGCGCTGGATCCAATCACTGGGAGTGTGGTGCGGGTGTTCAACCGACAGTCTATGAACTCCTCATTAACCTTGAGCATAGATAATAAGATTGATCGAATGACCGATTGACCGTAGATCACAAAAACTAGAGCTGGGGGTTGTAAATTGGCGTAGTGCGGGCCGCACTACGCGATTTATGGAACAGGTATTCTGTGGCCCATATGGCGGGTAACTTGCAGCTGAAATGAGCAGGTCTGCTCGAGTCCCTCAGGTTTCAGTGAGGAAATTTCCCGTTCCCAAAGACTGTTCCGTTGCAGCTTTGGCATTCATCAATTATTGAGACCGAGGCGCAACGTAAACGACATTATCCGCGATGACATTGTTGAAGAGAATACAAATGTGTAGGAGATGATATGAGTAGGGCCTTGCGACACAATGCTATTAAAGACTTCATTCCTCAACTTTAATTCTCCTCCTCTCCTCGTTATTCTATTTCTATGGCTTCCTGTACGTTCCTCTCGTTCTCTCAGCTTTAATTCACCTTCCACCCATAAGCGCCAATGTCTGGACGGAATTCGATCCCAAGTGCGTATTCACTGACGCTGCCTGTGTAGGAACGGCGTCCAGGAGAGTAAACTGGTCTTATTTTTCCGTCTCCCTCACTATACTGATGTTGTGATACTGCTGTAGCCTACCCTGTTCCATCGCAGGTCACTATATCTGTAGCAGTGCCCGGTTGAGCCTGAGTATGATTGCTTGCAATCCTTGTTCTCCTCCTCGGAATGTTCACCGTTGCTGCACAACTGCTGCATTAACCGACTTTGAGAGAGATTCACTACGACTACCAATTATGTGACCTGTCCCGGACCCAACTCGCCTCTTTAGCGTCCTTATTCGTTCAGAGAGGTATTGATCCACGTAAATATGGTCAAATCCAATCCTTGACCAATCCTTGACGAATCGTGCTCGCTACTGATAAGGTTTTGAAGCTTGATAATTGATAATGGCTTATCTAATCCCATCAGAGAGAGAGGCGGGCCGGCAACATCGATGTCAACCCTAATCTTCAAAAACAATCTTCATATTTACTGAGGTGTTATGCAGCAGTGAGACGTGTCGCATCCAATTAGTCTCGACCATGACGGACGAGAGAGACATGCCGATCCTCTTCCTCTTGTAGTCCAACAACCATACATCGCCATCTGGTAACCGTCTTCTGTTTAGCAAAATTGCGCGACCATGTCAGATGGTTTATGCCCTGTGTTTGGTGGTAGATGGGGTGCCCGAGGACAGCACCCAACGCTTACCCGCACCAGCGGTAATTCAAAGTGTTGACGGCGGCTGCGGTATTTGCCTTGGTGCAGGCTTCCGCGTACCACCCCTACTCCGTGACGTACAAGGTCGCGGTCACCACACTCGAAACGCTGCGCGACTCCTATTCTGCATTGACGCTCACACGAAGGTTGACAACAATGGTGTGCAGGACAAGGTGATAGAGGATGCACTCGCTGATCCGTCACACATCCGCTCGTACGATATTCGTGGGATTTCCATCAGGTCATCTCTGGCCGCCACTTGTCCATTATAAATAGCCCTTTTTCCCATATCCTGACCAAGCCGTTCATGATTGGGATTCTTCCTCTCATGATACACAATCCGCTAGGTGCTGTCACCTGGTTAGCAATCGCCCCTTTCGCAGATGGAACCTACATACGTGAGCAGTTAATAAAGTCGTGTCGGATGTTAGGTGATCAATCGTTCATCTGGTACCCCCATCGTCCCACCTGTGATATTTGGCCACCAATTTAACAATCATGATACCTCCACCTGGCCCAACGTTTTCACGTCTTTATAGCGACGCGGTTATTCCCTTGCTCCTCCTTTGGGTTTCCGTCTTCGCTGTACGAAAACTTTGGAACGTCTACAGTGACAAAACCACACCGCTCACAGGACCACACAATCCAAGCTTGATGTTCGGATTGCACAGGCAACTCAACGAATCTGACGACGCAGGTGTCATCTACGAGGGGTGGGCTGCAAAATACGGTCCAGCTTTCCGTGTTCCTGGAGGATTCGGGTCAAGCCGTGTCGTCATCTGCGATCCTAAAGCGAATGCACACTTTTATTCCAAGGAGACTTTCGGCTATATTCAAACGAAGCTTTCCCGTGTATTCATCGAAAATTTGGTTAGTGAAGCGATTGCTTTTGCATTTCCTTGCTCAGATGCATCGGAGCAGTTTGGGCGTGGTCTATTATGGGCCGAAGGTGAAAGTCATAGAAGGTCAGATTCTTGGCAAAGACAGATGTAATCGAGGCTTATAACTGTTACACAGGCAAAGAAAAGCTCTCTCCCCCGCCTTCAGTAACGCAGCCATCCGCAAGTTAACACCCATCTTCTACGATTCTGCATACAAGGTGTGTGATTACAATATTTTGTGCATCTTCAAATTTTGACGATATCTGAATCCAGTTGAAAGGTATATGGGACACCGCTCTGGACGCCAACTTCGGCGATTCTATCTTTGACGTGCAAATTTGGTTCGTTTTCAATATTTCTCCTGCATATTGAACAAGGTCAAATTGACTTCGTTCAAAGGATGAACCACATCTCGTGAGGGCCTGCAACCCAACTCACTTCTTTTTGACCATCAATTCAACGCCATTTTAGCCTAGATTCGGTGGGCATCGCTGGCTTTGGACACGACTTCCATGCCCTCGACGGCAAAGATTCCCCCGTAGTCGAGGTATTCAATTCTTTTAGCAGCGGCAACACCAGTGTTCTATCCCACTTCGTCTTCCTTATGGGTCCCGTCCTGCCCATGCTGATGAACCTCCCGACAAAGCGGAACCGAATGTTCAAGCGATTGCGGACGACGATGGGCGGCATCGCTGACGAGTTGCTGGCGCGGAACAGGGGAGAGAAGGCGGGGAAACCTTCACTGGAGGATAAATCGATTATCGGCTTGCTCGGTATGTTGATTTTTCGCGGAAGAATGTCGTGTTGCTGGTCGAAATTCATGTTGGGGACGTGTTGTTTAGTTAAGGCCGAATCCGCGACCTCGTCCTTAGGAATGTCTCAAGAAGAAACTCTGGCACAGGTGGGTTTCATTTGTGAAAACATGCCCTTTTACTTACGAAAACCTGCTTAGATGGTGCGTTGCTTCTCCACGGGACATTTACGCAGCTTTCCCTGATTTTCTATACAGAATGTTCTGTTATTAGCAGGTTTGTCGGCATGGAGCTTTATCGCGTCAGAATAAACGCTCACAATTGGGCAGGATATGAAACTACATCGAGTGAGTGAATCATCACCATCATTGTTGTTATTTCATTGAGTTATGTCGCTTTTCAGTTAGTCTCACTGTGAGTCCCTCTTCCCATTGCCCATAACCAATCGCAATTCTGAAAATCTGTCAGTGGGCCCTCATTGAACTGTCTCGGAAACCAGAAAAACAAGAAAAACTTCGAGAAGAATTATCTGGCTTCGTCGGCACTGACCCGACATTCGACCAACTATCGACTACACTTCCATACCTGGATTCAGTAGTGCAAGAAGTGCTTCGCCTTCACCCACCCGTGACAGAGACCACCCGCATCGTACGCCCACTTGCAATCACATAATTGATTTTTGACACACAACTATTTCCAGGCAGCGGAAGACGACGTCATGCCGTTCAGTGTTCCCATCACCACCTCAACAGGCAAGAGCATCTCCAGCCTCGTCATCAGCAAAGGCACCATTGTCACCTCGCCAATCAGATTCATGAACCGATCAGAGGAGTTCTGGGGCCCCAACGCGAAGGAATTTGAACCGGAACGGTGGTTGGACGATGGCACTTATTCGGGGGCGAAGGAGATCCAGGGACATCGCCATATTCTGACCTTTTCTGATGGACCGCGGACGTGTCTCGGAAAGAGTTTTGCATTGGCCGAGTTCAAGGTAAGTCTGAACTTCTCCTTGCGAGCAAAGGTTTTCGTGCTCATGGGTCCGTGACGCTAGTCTGTGCTTTCAGTATTGATACGGAATTTCAT